CTTTGTTTATTAAATATTTATATTCTTGATTCTTGTTTGATGTTGAGTAACTTACCACTATGAAAATTGATGCCATATTCAAAAATATTTTCCTCCCAACGAAGTACAGCCACATCAAAAATTATTATAACTCCGTTCAACTTTACTTATTCATTTGAATTCACACTATCCTTAATAGCATATAAAAAAATATTAATAATAATGATTAATTGGTATATAATGTAGAGAAACAAATAGTTAATATTATGAAAAAAATATAGATTTTTTTTGCCCTTTATATTTTTGTAACCAATGGGGACATCTCTATAATTTTGTCCGTTCTAATTGTCTAATCCCGTTTCAAAAAATAGAAAGAGATTTTTGAAGAGTTACTTTCACTTGTCTTAACTGCACGCTTAACTCTCGATTTTTGTTCTATCATGCCAAGAACATAGGACAACACCACAAGAACAATTTCTCTCTCTTTTTTAAATCATAAAAAATAACGAACACCACAGCAAACACTTTTTTTTAATCCGTATTTGAATCCGATTAATTATTGCAGAATTCATTTTGGACAGAACTCTAATATTTTTTTTCTTCAACACTCGAATTTAAAATTTCTGACTAAGTGAAGAAATAATCAAATATTATGCATAAGAGGTTTAGAGATTTTTAAATTCGAGTTTTGAAAAAAAATCAAATATTGTTAAGATCAAAATAATCAAATATCATGGATAAGCTATCGCATGCAAATCTTGAAAGAATAGAGAAGATAAACGATAACTATATTAAAAGACAGAATCTTTTTAATGCGATTAGATTAATGATCTTTATTTAAAAAAAAAATCTATTATATAAAATGAGTACACAATATTGAGAATAATAATCTCACAAATTTACTTAGAATAAAAAGAGATTTGCGGAAGTGATAACTTAACACTAGTGTTTTATGAATCCCCCTAAATAAAACTGTTAAATCCCCTTTAACAACATTATAAATACTACTATATAAGTTTAAAAGAATAAATTTCTATTTATAAAATCGTAAAATTAAATTATGATAAGAAACTGAGAGCAAAACTTAAAAAAAAAAAGAACACCTGTTGAGAGACAAAGAGACACATTTAAAGAAACATTAGTACTACTGCTCAAAAGAAAAAAAAAAGAAACCAACTGAGTCAGTACTAGTACTTCATCTCTGAAACAAAACATTAACCTTACTCTCTACCATTTCCAGTCAAAGGTGGGTAACAACTAACATGGGTTTTCCTCCTTTATTCCTCTGTTTTCTCTTCATACTCTTTTCACTCTCTGTAAGTGGAAATGCTGAGTTACAAGCTCTAATGGACTTAAAAGCTAGTCTTGACCCTGCAAATGCTTTGCTCACTTCATGGACTGTTTCTGGTAATCCATGTGATGGTTCTTTTGAAGGTATTGCTTGTAATGAAAAGGGTCAAGTTGCTAACATTTCTCTACAAGGTAAAGGCCTTAAAGGGAAGTTGTCACCTGCCATTGCTGGGCTAACTCACTTGACTGGACTCTACTTGCATTATAATTCATTGTATGGAGAGATACCAAGAGAAATTTCTAATTTGGTTGAGCTATCTGATTTGTATTTGAATGTTAATGATCTCTCTGGTGAGATCCCTCAAGAACTTGGAAACATGTCAAACTTGCAAGGTTAGTGACTAAGAAACTAACTTCTCTGTTTTGTGCATTATGGTTTTCTTGGTTTAGATTTTGAAGTTACAAACTTTGAAATTTGAAAATGTGAATTTCTGTTAATATGATAAAAAGATGATATTTTTACATTTTCTTTCTTTTTTCTGAATATTTTGTCCAAATGTGTTGAGCTCTAGTTGGAAAAGGTAGGGGCTTCTGCTGTTAATCATTTATGTCTCACTGAAGTTACAAACTGGAACTTGTTCTATTTGGGAAATCATAAAGATTTGCTTTTTTCCCCCAAATTGTTTTAGAGTTAAATTTCAGTCTAGTAGTCCCATCCCTTGTATTCCCTTTCATACTAGTAGTAGTTACATTACTTCTATATATAGTTTCTTGTTCTATGATTTTGTATTTTGGTTATAGTATTATTTTGTTGTAGTTACTGTTTAGAGTGATTTGTCAGGCTTTGTATAGTATTTTCCATGGCTTGTCACTTCTTTTGTTTCCTTATCTGTACTGCTTTGAATTGTTTTTTCTTGAGCCAAGGGATTATTGGAAGCAAATTCTCTACCTCCAAGGTAAGGTAAGGTCTTTGTATGTTTTACCCTTCCCGGTGCCTACTTTGTGGGATTACATTGGGTATATTGTCGTTGTTGTAGTTCATCCCCGTTGTTCTAAAGGTGGCTTTAAGTTTTGTTCTTGTGTGATTATTTACAACCTCATTTTGATTATGGAGTCTGTCTCACTTTAGTTTATTATCTTGTTCCATATTGTACAGTTCTGCAACTATGCTATAACCATTTTACTGGTAGCATACCCACTCAACTAGGGACTTTAACAAAGCTCAATGTCCTGGCTCTGCAATCCAATCAGTTAACTGGTGCGATCCCCGCTAGCTTGGGTGACTTGGGAGTGTTGATGAGGGTGGACTTGAGTTATAATAGTCTTTTCGGTTCAATTCCTTCAAAACTTGCGGATGCTCCCCTACTTGAAGTCTTGGATATCCGAAATAACAAGATTTCTGGCAATGTGCCTCTTGGTAATGAATTTTCTCACCCTACATTGTACTCTCTGTAGGAATTTTGAGAGTCAACCAAGTTTTTTTTATTGACATTTTCTTATATGCCTTTTAGATAATTTTAGTTGTTAATTTTTGTGTTTCATAGTACTTACTACGTAGTTCTCAAATATATAAGTTTTATTTCAAAAAACTTAAAGCTTTTATGTCCGATTCATGGTCAAAGTTAAGACGTTTGAATCTAGAAATTACAACTGTACCACATAAGTTGAGACAGAGGGAGTTATGTATGTGTAGCCCCATAAGAGTCTTACATTTAGTTTCTTGGTAAATTATATCTTATCTGGTCTTTTGCTTTCTGTCTTATGAAGCTTTGAAGAGATTAGTTGGAGGTTTCCAGTATGAGAATAATCCAGGACTATGCGGTGTGGGTTTCCCATCCTTGCGAGTATGTACATCTTTCGATCGCTCGAATCCGAACAGACCAGAGCCCTATGGAGTTGGCTCAAGTGGTTTATCTACAAGAGATATTCCAGAAACAGCTAATCTCAATTTAAATTGCAGTGGAAATGCCTGCACAACGTCGTCTAAAACCTCACAGGCATCTGTTGTTGTAGGGGTTATTGTGGTTACTATTATTGCATCTGCTATAGGAATTCTTTCCTTCACGCACTATAGAAGACGAAAGCAGAAACTTGGAGGTGGACTGGAAATGTGTGATAGCCGTCTCAGTATCGACCAGGCCAAGGAAGTTAATAGGAAGAATGGTTCTCCCCTAGTCAGTCTTGAGTACTCGATTGGTTGGGATCCGTTGGCTGAGGGCCGGCGTTATGGTGGAGTTTCCCAAGAAATTCTGCAGAGATACAGATTCAATTTGGAAGAGGTGGAGTCAGCTACACAGTACTTTGCTGATAAGAATCTATTGGCTAAGAGCAACTTTTCAACTACATATAGAGGGACTCTAAGAGATGGATCACTTGTTGCTGTTACGAGAATTGCCAAAATTAGCTGCAAGTCAGAAGAAGCCGAGTTTTTAAGAGGACTAAATGTTTTGACATCTCTGAGACATGATAATTTAGTTAGGCTGAGAGGTTTCTGTTGCTCTAAAAGTAGGGGAGAATGTTTTCTTGTTTATGATTTTGTGCCAAGAGGAAACTTGTTGCACTACCTAGATTTGAAGGAGGACGAAGCTCGTGCTCTTGAATGGTCCACAAGGGTATCTATCATTAGTGGAACTGCAAAAGGTCAGTGTTTGCATCAACTCTCTCTTGTAAGGTCTAAAGTACAGCAATTTGACATAATATTACTTCTTGTGAGCTTATTGTATCGATAATTTAATAATGCCTTTATGTATCTGTTACCTTCTTGAACAGGCGTTGAGTATTTGCACGGGTGCAAGGTGAATAAGCCAGCTCTAGTGCATCAGAATATCTGTGCTGAAAACGTGCTCCTTGACCAGCGATTCAAACCATTGCTTTCAAATTCAGGCCTTCATAAGCTCCTCACAAATGATACCGTCTTTTCAGCGCTCAAGGCTAGTGCTGCCATGGGATATTTAGCTCCAGAGTACTCCACTACAGGCCGATTTACTGAGAGGAGTGATATTTATGCCTTTGGAGTGCTCATTTTCCAAATTTTATCTGGCAAGCGAAAATTCACCAGTTCAATGCGTTCTGCTGCTGAATCGTCCAAATTCCACGACTTGATGGACGTGAATCTCCATGGAAGGTTTTCTGAGTCTGAAGCAACAAAACTAGCGAAAATAGCTTTGTTATGTACACATGAATGCCCAGAGGAGAGACCAACCATGGAAACAATCGTACGAGAAATTGGTAATTTAGCTAGTCCCTCCTAATGCTAATGATATTCTTCCATCAACTATTGCCTGCAGGGCAAGTTTTCAATACTCCTAACTTATTAGCTTGAAATAGATTCGTACTAACCTCTCACGAGTATTGGAGCTTCAAATTTTTAGTCAGTCTGAGAACTTCTTTGACTGAGGACTTGACCATTTTGTGAATGTTTGTATCTCGTTTGCCATTTAACCTTAGGATTTCTCATGTTGGAGGATTTTCCTCTGTTTGTCTCTTGGCTTCTTATTAATCTGTTTGTAAAAAGATGAATGTTCTTCCATTTACCTAGGATCATTGCTTCGTTTTTGTTTTGTGCCTAGACTTTCATATTATTAAAGACTACAAGACCCGAAGGCCATGGTCCATAGGGGGCTAATGGCTATGGTTCATCCATCAGACTTGGTTTACTTGGAAGTGAGAGATGCTTATCATCCGAGCAATTCCCTCTTGTCTTTAGGGGATTTATCTTCAATTAATAAGTATGTCGGAAAAAATTGTCATTTAGGTTAATCAAAACTTCCCCTCATACATATTTTGTCCTTTGTTAGTTCAATTCTACATCAAGTAACTATTTACAATGCCAATCTACTATAGTATAATGCGATTTAGGCTTCAACCACTCTCCTTCGAGGAGATTTTACTCTGTATACATGTTCTTCCCCTGTACATTTATCTACTTTAACAATCCAGTGTCCACGATCAGTATCCACTTTCATCTTTGCAGCTACTCTGGTCAGCAGCAGCCCTTCTCCTATAGGCAACAATTGTGTCCTCAAAGGGCTGCTCTTCCATGACTCCTTGCAAAAAGCATTGTACCCCAAAACAATGGTACTTTTATCCCTTCTGCTCTTTCGCAACGATCCTAGTATCTCTTCATGATTTTGAATGTTACAATCCACAGCTATGAAGTCAGCATCTTTGTAGTAATTTGGCAGCAGCAACTCTAGAGTCTGAGAGTTCACGACAACAAACTCAAGTTGACTAGAATTCGTGCCTAGAGCCAATTTGGAGAGATGTAATTCTTCTATGCCCCGGAGGATGCAGATCACTCTTCCCCCTGTTTGTTGAGCTGCAGCCACCAAGGCTAGGGTGGTTGAGTCTGCAACATTGGCACAAGCAACCACCATGATTTGTGCATTGTTTCCTGCTGCAAGCGCGGAAATGAACTCTGCCCCGTTTGGCTCATTAGCTCTCTTCCCCTGAATCAATCAAAATGAACACAATTTTAGCAAATAAATTCAATTGGAAAACACTAATGGAACTCAGTAAGACCTTTCTATAACAATCCTGAAATCGTTTTTTATAGCACATTTCTCTAATGAGAGCGTGAGACAGACAATACTGTTATAGAGAGATTTGGCTCGATTTAATCGTACTACTTACCATGTTCATGGTTTTGAGAAAGGCTTTGGTGGCATTTTCAGCAGACCAACAACTCATTTTTCTTGATTTTTTTTTATGAATTCTTGAAAGAAGTATAGAGCTAGAGATGCAATCAAGTTATTTATATACAGGACAGACACAACCTAATTAGTGTGTCCATGTGGAATTGTTTTGGTAAAAATTCTCAACTTGGTCTTACCTAAAATAAAATATGAAAAATTATTACAAAATGTATGCCTTTTTATTAATTTATTATTCTTGAAATTCTTGATCCAGAAATGGTAGAGTATAATTTGGGTGTATATTTTGAGTCACAAGTTGTTGGGCATAAAGTAACGTGAAGGCCATGTTATCAATGACCTAAGGCGACCTTCCTGGAGACTGAAAAAATTGATAAAATAATTGATGACGAGGAGTCCATTAAGCTCTATAATGTGGATAGAGTTTGAAATTTACGATCGGTGTACGAGTGTATTAGAAAAAATAATGCATATATTAATTTTGTGTATTATTAATATGTTATTTAATATATTTTTTTAGATATATTTTATTTGGTATTAAGATATGTATATATTAATAAATACATGAAAATCCACGCGATTAGTAATGCAAAGGGAGTTAGTGCGTATATTAGCATGGTTAAAGACACAATCACTCCTCAAACCTTTTCTACATCTTTTCCTCAATGTATTTATGGAGCGTATTTGTATAAACAAATATTTTCATATACAAAATCAAATACTTCTTATGAAACAGTTGCAACATAAATAATGCTACATTACTAACGTATCATATTCAATATCATTTTTATACGGCTTTTACTTCATTAAGCAGTATTAAGCATGTTTTAAGGGACAAACAGTGTGCTAATTAATATGCTTAAACCAAAACCAGGTTCTCCTTCATATTAACAGCTGTCTTTGGAGAAGATTCAAGAATCAAGACTATTAGGTTTGCTGGGATTGTAATACTACTAGTTTGCTATATGTCTTGCTTGTATATGGTTTCCTTGTCTTAGTTTAGTTAAGGTGTGTCTCTGAGATTTTGGTCATAGTATAGAGTGTACTTGTGCATTTTCGTTGATAATTATTAATATTTTTTCAACTAAAAGCATAAATATCTAAATAGAAATAATAACCTAATTTTTTTTATTTAGGACTCTTTTTAATTTAAATTTTAATATTATATTATATTTTTTAATTAATTTTTATTGGCCCACGAACCGATCCTATCAATATTTCTCAAGCCCCTAAATGAGCAGGCTTATTCAGGGCGAGCTAAAAAACCCTTTTTTAAATGGGCTTCAAAAATCTTAGCCCAACCATATTAAATTCTGGGTTAGACCAGACCGACCCAACGGGCTTAGCCCATATTGATGGCTGATAAATATTTCAAGCTCTTTTTTGCTTCTCAAAGTGATTTGTTAAATAAGCAATTTATTTTGAGATTTTCTTTAAAAATAATAATAAAAGGAATAAGATGGTATAGCTAATGTCTACTACACGATTCTTTTTTCACAAAATACATAGTTAACTATTAAAGTAAGATCTATTTTTCAAAAAGATATTTTAACTTTATGAAAATTTTAGTACCCTCTTAAACGGTTTTAAAGTGTTGTAAATATTTTTTTTTAACCACCTTCAATTGCAAAATAAAATATACAATCACACACCATTTATAATCTTTCACGTGTTAATTTTAATTTTTAATCTTTATTTTCATTTTTTGTTTTTCTTATTTTATTAACATCATTTTCTTTTTTCTTTCTCTTTCTACTTCTTCTTCATTACCGTCCTCTGCTCTTTTCAATCCTGCTAGCTGCCTTCACCAAAATTTTCTATGTAGCTATCATTTTCATCAATTCTTTGAAATAGTTTTCATCATGTCACGATAATTTTACCATCTCTATCATTAATATCTTCAAATTATTGTTAAATCAAAATTAAAATTACTAACAAGTTATAAATTGAAAATTAGTAATCACCTCTAATCTACCATCTCCTTTCCAAAATCACGATAATTATACAGCGGAACACCATAACAATAAAGGAAATGAAATTTTATAATACTCTCAAATCGAAGAAATTTCTTTATTTACATGCTGAAGTCTATAATAACAATTTTTAAAAAAAGAAACAATGTTATCAAGAAGGTTTACAATTATTACTATTTTGAAAAAAACTAAGGGTAAAAGAAGAAAAAGGAACAAAGAGAAGCAAGAAGACAACGAAAAAAATGAATGAAGTAGATGAGTCTTTAGAGAATAGGCAGTTTGTTCTTTGAAAATTTTGGGAAAGAAGATAACAAAATTAAAGAAGGGAAAATAATCAAAAATACCCATAACTTTATTTTATTGGTTGAATTTATTCCTGCCGTTAAAAATAAGTTATTTTACCTGTCTTATAAACTTAACAAATATATCCCTCCTAGGATAGAAAACCCCAAATCAATTATAATTACCTGATTTTACTTAAATTATCCAATTTTTAACATGACCAGACCCCACTAAATAAAATAACTCATTTCTTTTACCAAAATCAATTTTTTTTTCCCACTCTAATTATAAAAATATTAGAGTGTTTCTAAGAAAAGATAGAGCATTCTGGAGAGTAGAAAATATCTCTAACAAGATCCTTTCATCGACATCTATAAATAGGAATGATTATTTGAGCTCTTAGCAAATAAAAAAGAAGCAAGTCATCAAGCGTAAAGTGTGTGAGAGAGCCAAAATAAGAAGACACAATATATTGACACATATGTCCTATATGACATAATACATGTATAAAGTTATATAGGATATAAATTGTCACATAAGATAATTGCGTCTATTTATCAAATTTAAAAGCAAATTTAAATGACTAATTTATGTACATTTACAATTGAAAGACATAAATATCAATTTGAACCAAGTTAAAAAACATATTTATGTATCTGTCTAAAAAAATTGCTAGTAAAAGAAAAAGATTTAAATATAAAAAAGTGTTGGACCAAAGTTAATTCTTACTTTGCAATGATACAGTACCAATCGTGAGCAACCAACTCATGTGTTTAAGGAGTTCGGAATCTAAATAAGCCATAAAAAATAAAAGTGATCGAATAAACTACTGTTTTAGAAAGTAATTAAAATAGGATTAGTGAAAGAAAACATTTCACTTTTACAAGTATTCCAAACGTTTTCCGTTAGTCCCATAATATTTATATTTTAATATATAATGGAACTATTTCTTACGCTTTGTAAAGTGAAAGTTTTCTTACACTTTGTAAAGTGAAACTTTTTCTTACACTTTACAAAAAGAAATATTTTTCACGTTTTGCCCTCTTTATGAAGTTTTTGTCATACAATTGAGATATTTTTCATATATATGTAAAAATATATAAATATTTATCACATGCAATTAATTTACTTAAATAACAATCAATCATATAAAATAATTGACAGAATGAACAAATAATAATCGAAATATAATTATTGGGTATTATTAATCACTTTCATTGATAGTTTTGTTCAAATCAAAATCATATCGATCGGTAAGAATATTTTGATTATGAGTCATGTTAGAAAAATTAGTAGATTGAGCTATCGAAAATTCATCAATGCTATTACGATTTTCTAATTGGGGATGAACATCGACCAATAAAGGAGAACATTGTTGGCTAGTCTTAGGCTCAGTTCTAACATAGATTTCAAGTATTGCTAACTTGATTTGGTCTATGTAATCATTTGGAACCCTTAAAAAAGTCGGTCAATGATTTTTCATTATAGATAATCGACTCTCCAAAATTTACTTGTCCTTGTGATAAAAATGAAGTATGTATTTTCCGACTATAATCATAATAATACTATTTATGCCCCATTATATTCTTTTATAAATTGATGAAAGAAATATATGATATCAGATATTAATTGAATATTTAGCTTTGTATTTGGGAGGACAATTATAATAAACGGTATTCCTATCATGTATAATTTCGCTATCCCAATATATCGAAACTATAACTTTTGGTTTAGAAAACATTATTTTGTTATTAAAAAGAAGAAGAATAGAAGACTAAAGATGTTAGAATGTGTTATGTTTGAATGTCCTTAAATAGAGTTTGAATGAGTTTTCAAAATGAAAAAAAAACACAAAAAAATAGTGTAATAATTTTTTTATTTTATGATACGTCAAATTAATATAATTGTATGACAAACACCACAAAAGCATCATAAGAAGAGCAAAACTTGAAAAAAATTTCTCTTTGTAAAATGTAAGTTTTTCTTCTATTTTGTAGTGTAAGAAAAAGTTCCACTTTACAAAGTGTAAGAAAAACTTACATTTTATAAAGTGCAAGAAATAGTTCCCTTATATATTAAAATATACCCGTTATGGACTAACGAAGAACGTTGAGAATATTAGATAAAGTGAAATTTTTTCTTCCACTAAACCTATTTCCGATACTTCCTAAAATAATAGCTCGTTTTGATCACTTTTATTTTTTTGTGGCTTATTTAAATTTCGAACTTTTATTATGTCAATCATTATTTTTTTAATAAGTGTGTCAATTTAAAAGTGAACAAATAATTATGAACAACATAGTAAACTCATTCCGCTCAAAATAACAACATAAATTTTATATTTCCAAGAGACAATTTTCACGCTTGAATATATGACTTTCTAATCATATTACAACAACCCTTGCTATTGCACAAAAGATACCCTTTAGTAAACCCTAGAGATAAGCTAGGAAAAATTAATATTACCTTTGTATGAATCTTTAAATGCCACATCATTTTAAATTTTCCAAAAATACACTATTTTTGAAGAATTCGACGTAGACCCCTTGACTCTTGGAATATGAAATGACAATTTAGCATAAGAATAGGCGGTAGTTCAGAGGCAGAACAAGTCAGAGTTTGGTTTGCCTGCGGATAGGGAAGCATAGATGTAGATCCAATCAAGTTGAGAACTTGTTGTCTTAACACAGAAACAACGTGCATAAATTCTATGTCCCCTGGTCTTTTACACGCCAGGACCCATTATATATTATCTTCTGATTCTTCACTTGTGCTAAGTAATGCAAAAAAACAGAATTTAACTATTTCTTCACAAAAGGACACTTCTTGGAACTTACTCTCTAAATCTAGTTTATATGATATAAAATTATAAAAAAATGGAAATGGCAGAAGAGAGATTTGATTCATTAATATGTTTAATATTTTGTAATATGATTATGCAAGTTGTGACCTAAATATTAGGATGTTGTATTGAAAGTGTTAACTTAATGGTGGACATAATTGCACCAACTTGCCGTGTCCTTAATGTGGAAAAATCATATATATTAGTATTCTTTCATTTAGCTCAAAAATAGTCATAACATGTTCTGATATTATTTGTTTTCGGTTGAGTCCTTTACACTAAAAAAAAGTATTAATATCTCCACTTTATATATAATTTTTCAATTTGTTGGCATGGCCAACAATCTCCCCCTTCGAACTAAGTTCCATGTGGTTCATCACCACAATTTATTGGCAGAGGCCGACCTAGAATATGAGTGTGACGGGAGTACTATTATCTTCAGAATTAGTCAAACACCATAAAAAATATGAACAGGTGTAGCCAAGACTCGAACTCTGATCTCAGGCTCGCGCTCATCCCATTGTTTTAATCAACTTTAGCTATTCAATTGGTACAAACAATTGTTAAAAACGAATAGTAATTGGAGTTGAAAATAAAAGATTTGGTAGTTGGCAAATTGGTAAGATTTGCAACCATTTTTAACTTTGCTATGTTTACATATGTCATTAGTGACATATGTATGGTTTTATCCTTCTATAAATAGAGCATTCTTGCTTATTTGTAGAACACACCAAGTTAGAGAGAAAAACCATTTTGAGAGCAAAGTGAGGTATTCCAAAGGCTATATAAGAAAATAGTCTGTGAAGAAAAATAGAGTTGAGCGATATGTTAGTAAGACGGAAACTAAAAGAGTGTTGTTCCTTTTGAGTGTGAAGTAGTCACTTTGAGTGTTGTATTCGTGACTACACAGTATAAAATTCCTTACTATAATAATATCAATTGCTCCTCTTGGCCCGTGGTTTTTCCCCTTATTTAGAAGGGTTTCCACGTAAAATTCTTGGTGTCGTTATTTTTTTATTTTATTTCCATTACTTTTACCATATATACTTTTGTGCTTATCCGCGTTTTCCCAACAGGGACATGATGACCAAGATGCCCCAATCCAGTTGACATAGTTTTTCCTATAGGTAACTGGTGTCCGTGCACCTCTAGGATAGGTCTCTCCTCGAAGTAAGCACTTTGTGGATCGCATTACTATGATCCACTCTGTATATTAACAAGATTCATTAAATGTCATCCACATGTTCGACTATTTATGGTCAGAGTCGGAGTTAGAATTTTCAATAAGAAGGTTCATAATCTGTAGAAATAGATAGACGAAGGGAGTTCGAAATTTACTATATATACCTATAAACTTATTTTCACCATATATAAATAAGTAGCTCCGTCCCAGTTTGTGGCCATCAAAGCTCTTAACTTCTTGTGCGTGTGTGTCTCTAAGCTATCCTCGACATATTAAAGGTAGTAAACCGAGCAACACCCAATTGGCAATTGCTTCTCCATATATATCATACTCATCTCGTTGAATCATTAGCTTTGATATATGTTATTTGATTAAATTATTTAAAGATATTCTTAACATGATGCGATACTACTCACCTTGGGCCAAACTCATATTGGTTTCTCAAAATACTATCACATCAATAAAAAAAATATCCATATAACCTGTATGTTGTTCTCACGTCCAACCTTCCTAATATACCCTAATAGATACTACCTACTCACTCCGATCCATTATAAGTAGTTGTCGTATTTACCTTTGCATACTCGAGAATGTTATGGGGAGGAAGATAGAAAGGTAACCTATGACACGGAGAAATCAAGCTTTTTTTGTTAAGAATTTTTTTTAAAATGCCGAGTTGACTAAACTACCCTTATTTATCCTTTGATCTCAATTTAACTCTTCCTTTCATTATTTTAATCTCTTTCCACATTTTATTTTTATTAGAGAAATGATAAAAGTGAGAAAAAAGTATTTTCTATCTTGATTATATTATTATCAATTATTTTTAGTAACCATAACCAACAAATTTAAGTAGAGAGTAGCTATTATGTTGCCACAAGCACACGTGCGTGTAGCGCTGTTATTCATGTGTATGAGATGCAGATCATACGCATCTTTTCACGATCCTCTTTATAATTAGCTCAAATAAATTTAGTCAACATTATTGATCATCTTCATACTTATAGAATTTAGATTATTGATTTGGTATTTTGCCCACCAAATTAGACTTGTAACCCCTATGATTAAGGAAAAAAAAAGTAGAACGTGTACGTAATTGTTGAAAGCTGGCCGATTCAATCTGAAATGACATAATACATAAAAATGTCATTTAACTTGATCCCATTTTACATTCATGCCCTCAGCTACACGTAGACACTTAAACTTGTATAGAATTGAAAAAGTTTACACATGAGTCCTATGTGACATAATATATATAGAACATCACGTAGGAAACAAAATTGCCATATAGGATGCCACGTAAAACATGTGTGTATGTTTATTTAATTTCATACAAATTTAAGTATCTATTTATGTACGTCCAAAGTTAAAGGGCATGAATGTGAAATGAAGTTAAAAAGGATATGTTCTAAAATCCATACACTTATTGAAGGAAAAGACTTACCTATTCTCATACAGTGTTTACACAAAATAATATAAATTTACCATGATTACATAATCATATATAAAATATATTCATTAATTTGACGTGAACATTGAGTAATTCGCACGGTTATAATGAAGAATGTTAATTACCATATGCTACATCTCAAATAATGGCAACAGAGATATTGAATGAAGAATTGCATTAGGTAAAATGAGAAAGTATATACTAAATTACTAATCAATAGGCTTAATTAATCAATATTGCAGCTATATACAGTTCAAAATCATGGTGGAAAAAAAAATCCATTTTCCCCTAATTAATCATTACTACTAATGAATCGTTTACAAAACAGAGAGAGCCTTAGGCTTCAACTGTTTTTCCCCTGATCCTAAAAACATGTTCTTCCCCTGTGCATTTATCTACTTTAACAATCCATTTACTTTTCTTCCCTGAAACTCCCAAATTTCCCCCTTTTTTCGCCGTTTTGTTACTTGTCACTAACAATCCTTCTCCTATAGGAAGTAAATGAGCATTGAAGCTCTGGCACCTCCACGAATCCATACAAAGCGCGTTGTATCCCAAAACACTCACATTTTCTCCCATCATTCGCGCTGTTTGAATGATGCCTTCGCACTTGTTGAGGTTACAGTCAATGAGTACAAAATCCGCTTCTCTATATTCACTCATTAGTAACGTATTGACATCTCCAGTGACAAACTCAACAAATCTCGAGTTGTGCCCTAGAGATTCAATTGATTGGATCAGCTGACACGCTAATCCAATGATACAGATGACTCGGCCACCTGTCTGGTGGGCTGCAGCCACCAGAGCTAACACGGTGGCCGAGTCAGCTGCACCTGCACATGCAACAATCATAAGTTGTGCATTGTTGCCTGCTGCTAGTGCTGAAATGAACTCTGCCATCTCTGGCTCCTTTGCACTCTTTCCCTGAAAAAAATTTACAAATTTAATTACAACATTATAAATTGGAAACTGAAGGTAGAAAATATGCAAACAAATTGATACTAACCATTTTAATTGCTCTAAGATAGGCTTTGGTAGCATTTTCAGCTGACCAGCAGGCCATTTTTTTTTACTATACTTTTTTTGCCTTTGAAATTTGATTGTGACTCTTGAATGCCCTGGATAATGGATTATGTATTTTTAGGTATATATATAGCATAAAAGATAGGGAAGTAGTTATGGGCAAAGAGGTACATAGGGGTCCAATTGTCCAATCAATGTAGCTATGTCCTAATATGTAGGCAAAACTAGATAAAATAGGCATTCTTTTCTATTTCTATTAATCTCTGTCCAACAATAGTTGTCGATCGTTAATACAAGAGTTAAATATGAGTCATCTGAACTTTTAAAATTGAATTTAATAACAAGGTAAAATAAACATGACGTTAAATTATTCTTTGATTTTATAAACTGGACAAATATTGTTGGACATTCCAATATAGTATAGTGGACAAGTAAAAATGAACAGAACAAATATTACTCCTTTCGTTTCAAAAAGATTGATCTAGTTTAACTTGGAACGGAGTTTAAAAAAAGAAAGAAGACTTTTTGATCTTGTGGTTTTAATTTAAAGTTATGTCAAATGTACCAAAATGTCATTTAATCTTATGGTCTTAAACATGTCACGTGTAAAGTTAAAATTAAAGTATTGCAAAAAAAGGAAAGACGTCATTCTTTTTGAAATAAACTAAAAAGAAAATAAAATGATTCTTTTTGAAACGAAGGAAATAATTGATTAAACCATTTAACTTTCGTACGTATACGCATAGACAATACAACCCTTCTTATTGGAGGGTTAGGCTAGACCCCTACCTCGTAGATTAATAAAACATAGCAAAAATACATATATGATAGGAATATGAAGCCTAACCTCTTCGAAAGAGACGTAGGAGTTGCAGTGTTATAACTTCTAAGAGATATGAGGTCTTTTTAGATTTTACCTTGCCACGATTAACTCCACAAAATTTACAAATTATCAGCAAAATATATAGATATATATCAAAAGACCAATTCATGAGTCTTCCTAATCCTAAGGCTAGGGATCTTCCTTTAATTTATCCATTTGAATTAAACCACTCATTTATCTAATTGGGAGACTATCCAGGGATGTCTAGCTAAATCTTCTCATCCCGGTAATTAATCATGTAATTACTATTATTTAGGAGATCTGATAGGTAAAAATTATTTGATCTTGGAGAGTATTAATTAGTAAGTCTTTTTTTATTTTCCGATTACACCGTGCGTTGCATTAATATATAAAACGATCGGCATTACCAAAATATTCGATTAATTAGCTAGCTGTAGTGCTGTACATGAGGGAGACAAATGAAAATTAATTATAATGTGTAAGTAGGATTATATTATCGAAGCAATTTATATATTTATTATTTATATAAATCAATTAGTCTCTTATAGAGACAAAACTGATGAGGTTCATGTTACACCTGACACCCATCCAACAAAACTTGTTGTATTTTTCAAGATTCTAGTTTTTTTAATAATTATTATAAGAATTATTAAATCATTAATAAAATATTTATATGTATATAATTGATCTTGTCCGGCCTTGGTCCTTTTAGAGTACGTACGGTTCAATTCAAAATCCTTCAAGAAATAATAATAATAATGTATTTAGTCATGATTTGGTTGTTAGCTTAAATATCTTACAAAATTGGTTGTTGTGATTGATTTCTCTTAAAAATAATTAATTAGTGGAATTTAATTACTCAAGAAAAATTAAGTAAATGTGTCCCAAGAGCATATCACACTATGTTGGATTGTGTTTCTTGTTTCGCGATTCATGAAAAATAACTTTCTTTTTCCCAGTAATATGGAAAGTCAAAATAAATGAACACGTTCAATTCAATAAAAATAAAAATATATTTCTTTTGTCACCACGTTACCAAAATAATTGCCATAATAAAACCAAAGATAAACTGCATGGAGGTTCATGCATTGAAGACACTACATAATATATATATATACAAAACGCTGAAAACAAAGCAAGGAATAGTCCAATTAAGTATCAATCTGATGTCTAGTGGTCTTATAGTATTATCTCTTTCATTTGTGAGGGACCAAATTGTTACAATTCTTATAATTTTAAGCATATCTTAGCCTTGTAGCGGTGAAGCCACCTACTCACTCACGTATAATATGTCCTTGTTCCTATTTTTATTTTTATTTTAATAGTAGTACGTGCTGTTTGAGTCACCCTGTGCAAACCCCTCAACAGGTATTATCATCTTTCATTAGCATGTATATTGTATAATTGATAAGAAATATACTTTGAACGTTAACTCAACTCCAAAAGTCAACTTCATGTCTGAGGTGAAGATTTCTCGATTAGACCATATAAGGAAATCAAGTTCACATCCTACGACTAATGCATGTGAAAATTTTAACATCCTCACACGCTTATAGGTTTTCCAACATAATGGGAAAGCCCAATTATATGTGGTGATCATGGATTTAACTTGGGTATATATATATAAGAAAATTTAACTTTGGATTTAACTAAACCCTATATACAATAATAGCTCATGAGAAGAGAATTGTTTAAATCCACGTATAAAATGGGCCAAGTGATCCAAATCCCAAACAATTGATGTAGGACAACTTAAGCAGATATAAAAGGAATATATTTCCAAAAGAATATTGAATGGATTATATTGGAAGAATGAGGAAGATAAGTTTGAGGAAATATGGACAAGTTATGGGTCTAAGAAAAAAATTTAAATAAGTGGTAGAAAGAGTATATAGTTGTAATAAAAGGGACATATGTGCATGGGGTTGGGAAGTTGGACCAGTAGATATGTATATATATTGCTTCATAAAAGGTAACTTTGATATGATGTTTCTGCTGCATTTGCCATTACCATGCCAGGCTGCTGCAATGCATCTATATATATTTATGATAATTAAGGGGGCTCCCTCTTCATATTTGGCTTCATGCATGCATCTTTCCATGTGGAACCATGCAACTATGGTTGTAAATGTAATTAAAGAATTTTCATGTGATCATATTGACTCCATTAGAAATGCTCCATCCTCACCTTATTAATGCTTACTCGATTCGTTCCTACTTGTCCACTTTGCGCACGTTTCTTAAGAAACAATGAGTATTTTACTGATTGATGTATTGGTTTGAGGGGAATAATTAATTAATGTTAAGGGTAAAATAGAAAAATAATAGCAATTATTGTCTTTTCTTTATATGTTTTAGTTAGAAGTAAAAAGTAAAAAATTATTTTTAGAAGGCAGGACAAGCTATAGAGTGATCAGAGGGAGTATCTTAATGTGAAGTTTAATAACATAACTGGAAAGATTCTTGAATCTTGTAATTTTAAACATGTCAAGTGAGATGTTCAATTCACGTTTTGTAGTTATTTTAATTATTAAAAAAAAATAAGAAAACACATAATTTTAAATTGGTATATTTCATGAACTAGATGGAATCCTTTTGAAGTTGTGTCTCCATTATGCTAATTTATTTTATTTCATTTTCTCATCCAAGACGGAAATAGGAAAAAAAATGAAATCAAACCATAGAAATAAATAACTCTGTATTTGTAAAGATTAACAAAAGATGTATCTACATGGAAATAAAACAAAAGAATAACAGTCATAGCAAATCATGACAAGAACTAAAACAAATTAAATACCATTTAATGAGGGAAGGAGAAATAGTAAGTATAATTCCATTTTCTATATATAAAAAAATAATTATAAAAAATATAATATGGTGTATATTAATTATGAATTATAACGGGAGTGAAGTAAAAAGGTATTGAGGAGCTCCTAATTATCTCTTTTGTTGGCCGAATTAAATTAGGGAAACTTTTACTTCCAAATTCAATAAAAATAATAATTATAAATGTATTTTTGATACCTCAAGTATATTATCGTTAATGTGTTTTTTTGAAAGAGAAAAATGTCAAATATATTCTTAAACTTTTAAAAATGATACGTATATATCTTTCGTTATACTTTTGGGTCATAAATATCCTTACCGTCATAATTTTGAATCATATATACCCTTTGGTTAAACGGAAAGACACGTGGCATGATCTCAAATATCTGCCTTATTTTATTTTTTATCCAAAAATTATATACTTTCAATTCCAAAAGTTATTTAATTTTTAATCCAATTTTTATTTATTTTTTAATCCATTCATTTACTTGGCTGACCTATTGACCTCCAATATACATTTAATTTCAATCGATCCAACACCCATCTCCATAGCTTGATCAACACCCATTTCTAATTTCACGTGTCTTTCCGTTTAACCAAAGGGTATATATGATCCAAAATTATGATGGTAAGGGTATTTATGACCCAAAAGTATAACGAAGGATATCTACGTATCATTTTTGAAAGTTTGGGAATATATTTGATTTTTTTCTCTTTTCAAAACAATGTAAACATAAAATTTTATACTTTTAAGGAAAAATTAATGAAATACACGTCTTATGTTTCTCTTATTCTCAATATCCCCTTCTATTTTTAAAGCGTCTAAAATTCCTTATTTCTAATGTATCCGAGCTATGTATTAATGTATCATAGGCAGTATTTAATGTACCAGAACTACATATTATGTATCTGATTTATATTATAATGTATCCGAGATACTCTTTAATGTATTCGAACTATATATTAATGTATTCGATTTGTGTTACTTTTTAAGGAATTAATGTAATTACGAACTAAAGATGGATATATTATAATTTCATATTAAAACTTGGGATTCCTAAAATTTATCCTAATTTAATCCATACGCATTTAGCAAATCTTAAATTTTAAGAGAGCTAAACTAAATGTCAATTCAAATTATAGCATCACTTACATTTTTATTTAAATGTAAAAAGTGGAAACAAAAGAAAAAAGGGAAAAAGTGATTAAAATAGAGAAAATTTAAGAAATATACAATTATCTAGCTGATGTTGTCATCAAAATAAATATAGCCCAAAACTTACCTTACAAATATTTAGCCAAAAAGACAACATGTATAATACATGGAGCTATCAATATGGGTTGGCCCACCCCATTCGGGCCAACCCATAAAGGCTTTGAAATTTGATGGGCATCGGGTTAATACATTTAATATGTGGGTCACAAGATGATTGACCCAACCC